CATTGAAATGCATCTCAAAGGTAATATAATTTATTTACAATAAACCAAACTGAGTAAGTTTGATAATACAGTACAGACATCCCAGCAAGACTGAACTGCTAGGCCCCTGGAAAACAAAAAGAAAAGTGGAAATGAATAATGATCAACAGTAAAAATAATAGTAATAAATATAAATAAATAAAAATAAATCAACAATCAAGGAAAATGAGAATTAAGATAACAATGACAGCAAATAAATTCAGAAATAAAAATGAGAGAGTTAAAGTGGACTTAGAACTGAGAAAGATGGGACTAGTAGAGCGGCCTTGTTCCCAGCATTAGTCAAGGGGGATTCATGGCTTCCCTAAATTTTAACAATAAAATAATATAATCATTTAATTGCACAGTTACTCAGTAGTTTGTTCTATGTCCTTACTAGCTCCATATCAGTCCTTATTCCATGAAAATAGGTGAAGCCCCAGTCCGGGGCAGCCCGGTGTTGGAGGGTGGTTGGACCCCCCTTCTATTTGGACCGGGGGTCCAAGCGCTCGCGAGTAGTTGGACCCCCCTTTAGTGTAGTTGGACCCCCCCCGCTTGCGCAGCTAGCACTAAGTCAGGTCGCAATCACGCACTGACTTACCAGCTGTACTGCTATGGAAGACTTTGAGTCAGAGGTTGCACGTCTACTGGAATTTTCGTGTACTTGTATTTACTTGTATTTTGAAAAAGCAGGTCGTGTATGTACTTGTATTCAATGGCAAACTTTCGTGTATGTACATTTACTTATTGCTTCCCAAATTCGTCTATATTTTGGTGATTTTTCATTTACTTTTCATGTATCCTGTACTTAAATGTTGAATATTTGAAATGATAATATCTTTACTACCTTTTCTATTGCTGTTTTCATCATCTGCTATTCCTAGAAGGACTAAAAAGACCATCAAAGATCCATGGTTAAGCAAACTAACTGCCATTTTGACTGCTACGTGGACACACCCTTTAATTATTAATAGTTAATATAAATACATGAAAATCGTCTCCTCAGACTCCGTCTACTCATTTTTGGTTCTTGTATATACTTGTATGTACTAGAAGACCTGTTTTTCGTCTAAATACTCGTGTATCGTGTATACACGTGCAATGTCTGCTTTGAGTTGGTTTATACCGAAAATGATGAGACTTTCGACACATTTGATGACCTTAGCAAGGATGAAGGTATACCACATAACAGCCTATTATTTTTGTTTTATGTTATCATAAGATACTGACAGTGATACACAAAGCTCTGACATAGATGCAGATAAATAAACAGACAATTCAGTAGTATGATAATACTAGTTAGTATTATTTAATTATGAAACTCTGTTGTAGACATAGGAGCTATAGATATTTCAGAAGTTCTTATTCCAGACTATGTCAATTCACCGCCTCCCCCTGTTAAAGATACAGAGTGAATGACTGTATGGAATAAGCTCACATTGGGAAAAATCAGTATCACTATCCAATAATAGATCGTACTAAATTTGATGAGTATGTTATTTTATACAGTATTTAATTTATAACTGTATTATTTTTAGAAAT